CCTTACAAAAATCAATCAAACAAAAATTTCTAAATTCTTTTTCGTTATCATATTGAATTATTTGAGGATCACCAAGTTTATAAAAGCCATTTTAAGACATAAAAGAACCTCAGTTCTAGTTTTACTTTTAAGGGCATAAGTAATTATATATTTAGAAAATACATCTATACTTGTAAGTATCCAACCAAAACCATCATTTTGTCCCGCGTAAGTCTTCATATCAACAAGATCAAAGATTAATCTCTCAAAAAGCTTCGTAGCCAGAATATGCTTAAACTTTTCCTTTGCCTTAAGGGGTTGAGCTTGTAAGTAGATATTACACTCATTACAACCCTCCTCAATGACAAATCTAGGAATTGAAAAGTAAAGTTGTTTGCACAACTCGTAAAGACGATTCTGACAGTAATGATTTTAGTTGTGTAGTTTTTGTATTTTTATTTTCATAGAAAGCATATTTCCTTCCACAAACACTCGTTTATGACCATTTTATGTATCTTTCAGATAAAGTAAATTATCTATCGAGATAAGCAGCTCGGCCATTCTTTTCAAGCGATACTTTGTATGTTTGCTGCCATCTGCTGTCGAATCCTCGCCTTTAAGGATATTTACGATGGTATCGTATCCTTCTTGTGATTTAATAGTAGGCCTCATAAGGATTATTTAAAAAATTTTCATATGGATTATCTTCTATAAGATCAAAAGCAAATTAGTAGTAACTATGGTCAAGTTGTTATTTTAAAAAAAATTTGACGTTGTTGCGTGTTCGATTCACGCGGTGGCTTGCAAAGGCGGATAGACGAGCCTTCACTTAAAAAATTTATAAAGGGAAAATTTTCTTTGCTTTCGTAAAAAGCCGACAGGTAGGTAGTAATTCTATAAAATGTATATGTATCTATCTGTATTGATCAACTTGCTATCTGGTGTAGTACATAAAAGTAGTAATTATATAGAAAAACGAATTTTTATAATATATGTTGGATGTTAAACATCCAGTAGTTTCAGATACGAACAAAACCACAATGTCTTAAGCGTATTTGTTTGTTTCATGTTTCATGTAAAACTATAAAAAGAAATCCTAAATAAATAAGAATGTCATTTATAAATACCTCATCTAAATCTTCCAGACACAAACTTGCTAGTAGTGTACCATTTCCCGAGAATATACATAACAACATTACACTACATCCCTACTAATCGTAGTAGTACGATATAAATAATATAAGATATATGATACAAAAATTTTTAAACGAGAACAAAGATAAGGATGTGTAAGTTTGAGTTTAAAAAATAAAGAAAAAACATGTTCGTTTCTGTGCGCGCGACAAAAAAAAATATAATTTCTGCATTTTTTCACCAACTCAATTTTAAACGACAAAAAGTTTTTTTATCAATTAAAAAAAAATCTCTTTTATATTTTCTTACAGTGTATGTAATAACATTTTTATTGTTTATAAATTTTTAAATTTTTTAAAACAAACAATACAAAAGATATTTTGCATATTATTTTACATAACAGCCTTCTAAAGGTTCGTAGCTCTTCGCCATGTTGGCTTTTTTTAGTTTAATAAATAATAAAGAAAAATCAAAATGCATATGTTTGTTGTTGCCTTTTTTTCAACTGTACATACCCTAAATTTTAAAAAAATGTTATTATTTAAAGATTTTAAAAAAAAAAACTTCATCTGTGACAACTTTGATTTTGTGACATTTTAAAAGATAAGGAAACAAATATTTAAAATATTTATCTAAAAAGTGCTGCATTAAAAGCAAAAAAAAATTATTAAACAACAAAAATTTATTCGCTGTGAAGTATACAGTTCTTTAATAAAAATCATTTATTTTAACTTTCAACAAAAATTTCAAAATCGTCACTTTTAATTCTTTAAACATTTCCTGCGCATTTTTTTTCTCAAAATAAACAATTCTATGTCCTATACTGTATTTAACATCTAAATTAGTTAGTAATGCCACACTTTCAAATAATTTTGTCATTATTTCTTCACCTGACAAAGTTATAAATTGTGAATTTTCAAGTAAGATGTTATAATAGTTTTTTAAAGTCATGTTATTATGGCCTAAATATAAATTAAAAAACTCTTGTATATCATTAAAAAATTCGATATTCATATTACCCCTCTTTTTATAATTACTAAAATACTTCTCAGCTTCTTTGAAAATAAGAGTGTATAACAAATTATTAATTTCTTTATTCTCCGGTGTCATCATAAAATAAATCTTTGAAAGTTTCTCTTTAGTAAAAAAACTTTGAAAAAAAATGTTTGTTCGCCTTTTATCCTTACTATAAGTATCTTGTGTAAGAAAAATAAGTTCATCATTATTAAAAATATTATAATAACCTAATATATGGATTAATATGAGATATGAACCAAAACTCAGACTTTCACAAATTTTATATAATAGGTGATTTAGGAGATTTTCACTCTTAAATTTATAAAAAATAATTTTGTATTTAGCAAAGTCAAAATCTTTTGCCTTCGTATATAAATCCCAAATCTCGGTGCAATCTCGATATGTTTCTTCAAAAATACACTGATAATT